AGCAGGGGGCAGGGCCGGTCCTCGGAGCATGTCGCGAAGTTTAAACAGCTTAGAGGGATGTTGCGGCGCCCCCCGATGCTTGGGGCGGCAAGTCAGCCGGAAACCTCTAATAGCCCTGTCTCGTCTACATAGAGGCGGGGAGAGGGATGAGCCGCGGGGACAAGGTCTGGGATAGAGTCCGCAGGCACACAGGCGAAACGCGGCCGCAAAGGTGGGTTGTATGGGTTGCACACACGGTTGTATCTCCTCGGGTATACGATAACCGCACCCTCGAGGTGAGTTTGAGGGAGACGCTCGGCCAGGTATCCCTACATTAGAGCCACCGCTAAATTCATAATAACGCGTCCGTATCTCTTTCGTGTTTATAGAGTTGTCTCGTTTAGTTATCCCCAACCCTCCAACCGCAAACTCTTCCGTTTGAACTTCCGGGAGAATCGATATACGCGATAATCGAGGATTCTTCATTCTTTTCTTAATTTTCCTCCGAACAATTTGGTATTTGGCGAATTATGAAAAATGAATTTTAATATCTTTCTGGATAGAAGGAATCGTTTGTTTCCGATATCGAGGAACGGTACGATCAGATCGATCGAGATAAAAATGGAGGAGCGTAAGTACGTAACGTCCAAGGAAATCGCGTACAGGGGAAATCGATGACGATTTACGAGGAGCGTGATTGAACCACTAAAAACGAGAGCCATCTCTTTGCGAATCGAAGCGCGCACCATCTTCAGAGGCATAAACATCCGTGGCCCGTCTATACTGGCCCGTCTACGTGATGAGATCGAAAAGTATACAGACGTTACGGTAACCCTCGATCTTCATTCCCATCGACTTCGCACCAACGATGAACAGGTTGTGTTTATTGTGAAAACACCAAGACCATCCACTGTTGTGGGTTCGATCGTAGGCGGCAAGCGTGTGTGCTTAAGCGCGCATGCACTCTGCAACTTGATTGTACCGATGCCAGAAAGACGCGAGTTTTGATCGATAACGTTTCTCTCTGTAATCACAGGCCGTGCTCTCGCCAACTTTGCATCTTTTGTAACCGATCTTCCAAACTATCGAATCTTCTTCTTAAATTCTTAAAAAAAGAAAAAGAAAATATATAAAATCTTGCTTTTTTAAATTTTTTAAATTTCCTTTCCAATCTTTTTCACTGGAATCCATATTATTCGCTACTGAGAACGTGAAATGAAAAATTTGTTGAAATGAAAAAGGAAATATCAGAGTCAGAGAATCGAATTGACCCCTCGAACGCTTGGTGAAATCGTCGAGGGCGGCAAACTTGAAAGAGCAATATTTTCCCGAGCTCAGGCGGATGATCAGAAATAGATAAGTTCAATGTTTTCTCATCGGTGGCTGCCGCCTGTGCGGCCACTTGTCGTTCTGTCACCGGCTCGTCCATCAACCGTCCATCCCGCCAACCCCTTTTGCGGGGCGCACTCGACCCGGCTAGGCCGGAAAGCGGCCCCGAAAGGCGCGACGAGCCAACATCGAAGATAACGCAGCCAAGTAACGCGCCCCCTCGCCACCTATTCCGCTTGCTGGCTCGCGCACCAACAATATTTGCAGAGCTCTTATTCCCGCACTTGCCGACCCCGTAAGCGCCCCTTCAACCCTCCCCTCGCCCTCGGTGTACGCGCTCCACCAAGCCTCCGCGTTTCTCTCGCCACCCCTCGTGTGCACCAGCAACCACCTACCTACCTACCTACCTAATAATGATTTTACGTTACGCCATGCCGGTCCCCTGGGAATCCGACGGTGCCGCACCCTTATTGCACATGGCCCGACCAAGGGAATATAGACGTGGTGGAGGGGTGGAAGGAAGGGGGAGGCCGCTGGAAAAGAGAGGACTGATTATCATTAGCAACAGAGTCCCAGAACACCCTCGGTTTACTGGTTTGACGCTCGTACGCACGCCACCTCGAGGTCATGTCCGTGAGGGATTTCGCGTTTTAAGGATCGAAATGTGGGGATGGAATTTTAATTGGAAACGTGGAGTTAACGGGGTTGAATTTAAGAAAAAAAATTTGGAATGCTATTCGACGATTGCATGGTAATATTCTGCTGCGGAAGATATTGGATTTTGGAGATGATGTTGAGAGAGGTGAGAAATTTTGTTTTGAGAATTGTACGAGGGAGGAGAAGGGGAGTTTCGATCGAACTAGTTTAACAGTGGAATTTTCGATAATTTTGTATCGGAACATCTCCCTCGAGGGTGATAAGACGATGAAACAATTGTAAAGGAAAATGGAGGAGGAAAATTGCCACCGGCCACAGGGCAGCGGCTCTCTCTTGTCTCCCCTAAATTTTTCATCCCTTTGAATAATGAATTAAATGTTCCGTGGCGACCCTCGAGGAGTCGTAGTGCGTGAAGGTGACCAGCATGGGCGCATGGAGGTCCCATAGGTTGTTAGAAACGAACAGGAAGTGACCAACCGCTTTGTTCCCTCTTTCGCCGAGTCCTTCTTCGGTTGTTTCGTCGGAGCGAGGGTGAACGAGAGGGATGGCGGGCGACAGTTGGAGCGACAAGAAGGTGGAGGCGGAGGAGCATGGGGGAGGACAAGGTGATAATTTGATAAGACATTGGGAGGGTTGCCATGGAAACGATACAAGACCCCGTGGAACGCTCCTTCGCCTATTCCTCGCTTCCTTGGAAGAAGCTTTCCTCTCGTGAACGAGTATCGCTCCATCAGCAGCGAGACACCTAAGTGGCGAGTGTCCCAACACCATCGTCCACTCTATCTAAGATCTATCTAAGGGATGCTCCTTTCACGAATCCTCCGAAGTTTTGGAGAGAAACGCGGAAACAAAGGTGAACGCGTTCCCTTCGATATCTTTTTTTAAAAGAATTTTGCATAAATCGTAAAAATTTTCGATCGCCGTTCGAGCAACGATTATTAATTTTCCAACAGAATTCGAGAATTAACTGGCTGCGTCACCAACTGCCCATTTTTCACGAACAATTTTCGTCATAGAAAAATTCCATTCGAAGATTGGGGATCTAGCGTGTCAGTCTAGGTCGTGAAAGAAAAGAGGAAGACAGAACGACGGCCACCCCGAAAGACATTACGATTATTACCGAGCGAAGCTCGCAATGAGGGGCTGGCCACCCCTAAAATGCACTGGCCACATGTGCCACGATCCGAGTGGATCCTCTTGCTTACGACAAGACTCAGTCCAGACGGTTAACTGCATTATTTATCGTACCAAGTTGCTCTGCTAATTGATCCCTGGCATCCCCATTTGGCGATCAACCAAAACGAGAAATTTCTCGTGAAACGATTATAAATATTAGAGATGAGTACGAATACGAATAATACTTTCTTTGTGCTTTCACGTGTGAAAATCAAGATTTCGTTTTACGCTCCCTCTCGAATTTCGTACAAGAATCGATATCGCAGCCAATCAAATTGAGAAAAAAAAATCCCAAAGAAAGAAAATTTCGTATTCGCGTTCTAAATGTTAACAATCACTTTTAAAAAAGATCGCTCACCGGTGTGTATATAGGTGTGCTTCTTCATGTCGCTCTTCTGGTGGAATCTCTTCCCGCAGAACTGACAGGGATACGGTCTCGTGTCCGAGTGGATTAAAAGATGAGTACTTAAAGTGCTGGAACGTTTAAATGCCTTGCCACACTGCTTGCACTCGAACACCTTCTCCGCGGAATGCACGGCTCTGTGTTGCGTAAGGCTAATTTCATGGCCGAACGTTTTATTGCACAGCTCGCAGGCGAACGGTCTCTTCCCATTGTGGGATCTCCTCGCGTGCACCTATAAAAAAATCATATATTTCCCTAAGAAACCCCCTAAGAACAAATAGACTCTTTTAAAATTGAAAAACTAATTTTCATCGAATACGAATATGCAAGTGAAACAAATTAGAAAATAAAAATATTTTAATACGACATGGATAACGATATAATCTTTGCAATTCATTCATTGCTTGATCTACGACAACGCGTTATCTCGTTAGGTAAAAAGAAATCTGTTATCTTCCTCTTTTTCTTTCTCTCTCTCTCTCTC